TGTAATACTGTCTCTGTTTACAAAGGAGTATAAATATCCCTGTCATTATGTGAGCGTATGCTGTACTTGCGTAGTTTACCGTCGATTGGATAGATTCGAAAGGTTTCTGGAAATCTACACTTATCTTCTTCAAAGCAGGCATCCCGACAGGGGACGATGGAAATATTAAAAACCAAATATATCGCAGTGTTCCACAACTGGTGAAAAGTGGAGTGCCCATCGGTTAAAACAGGGGAATGTTTTATATCTAGTCGTAAGCTGAGTCGTTTATCGGCTTGATCATGTATACGTTAATCAATATAATCTGCAATAATTTTTTCGATACTGTTCGACTGAACACTTGGCTTGCAACTATTATGCATAGCCCATGATAAAATAGTAACAAGGTTGTGGAATCAATTTCACGTTCAGGTTCGAAGCCTTCTGTCTATGTATGCGATGTGAGACTTAACGATTACCCTGACCCTCTACGCGGTTGTTAGCACATATTTATCTTATAGCATATGATACAATAATATCGTTATATCAAAATTTCCTAGTTGGTACGCTAGCTTGAGATGTATATGTTTCTCAGGGTTCACGAATTATATATGTACAATGTGAAATATTGGGCAGACGAACATGGCTTTGGCGAACAGCTGGTTATTAGTCTTTTTGTGCTTATTTTATGACCTACTTCTTGATCGTAGTTCCCCATATCCATTTACAGACCGTCGTAGCTGCGTCACGTCCGTGCATCGAGCCGCTCTCTCAACGAGTGGGGGATAGCGAAATAGAGCGTTTAATTGAGAGCATTGTACCAATGGCTGAACGATGCATTACAGCCTATGGATCATCTGAAAACATGGACCATAAGCGAGCAATATTTCGAGAATGTTCGAATAGAGAACTCAAAAAATTTGCGCAACCCCTTAGTGTCAAGGATAAACAGTCGTTTCTCGAAGTAAAACTTTGTGTTCGCGATCTGCTCGTGCCCAGTTGACTAGAATAGTTTCGATATAAATGATGGACTGACGTGAACGCGCACTATACTACCTCACTGTTAATAGCGCTTGGCCTGATGCTACCTTAAATGATTACGTAGCCATTCATTCGGTGATGTAATATTGATACAATTTTAGCAGGTGCACACTGACAAATAGAGAGGGCCAAAAAGTAAACGTAAACTTATCCCGATTAAGAAACTGATGGCCTTTTTGAGAGAATGACCTGCTCTTTCTTCTTTTTTATTGCACGTTATATAAAGAAAATAAAACAGATAATATATATATATATATATATATATATATATATATATATATATATATATAAAAGGATTCTGTGGTTTTTCGCACACATTGAGTTAGTTGAGCAGCATAGGTCGCGCTTTTGGCTGTCTGGAGGACACCCGGGCGTCCCATTCCCACGCACTCCATTTACATCAATACCAACGATTATTACAATGAACCTCGCCGAATTAACGAAGAAACTTTTATCTCATAGAGGTAAGGCGAAACATCATTTAAACGAAAAACCCAATTGATGCCAACAGTAGCTTTGATATTTCGCGGCTGTATTTTTTATTCTGATCGGACTCAAAACGCTGACGATTAACACTTACGCTAAGCGTTAGACACTCACTTACGCTTCGTTTCTTACGATAATAATAAATAACAGAAGTGTGTATATACATCCATTAGCGGTTCTTTTATTTGACTTGAAAGTAATTGGTTGAGAGGTCACAAAATCAATTCCTTTAGAATACAGTGTACAACTTTCTCTGTATTCACCATTATATTCCTGCTCTAACAGTAAGCATTCCGTATTATAAATTTATCTAACTTGTAGGTGTAAGTTACCTGATCTACTTACCTAGATTGCCTGTTCGTTGTGTTCAAATTGCTTTTGTTTTTGCAATAATCCTACAAGATTTCATTTCACCAAGCTAGAGGACAACCGGATCTTCAACATCAGCATAGTCATCTTTAAAACTCCTCCGGAGAGCCAGCCAGTTGCAGAACCAAACAGTCTTTTAAGCTCAGGCTGTTCATATAAGAGGTAGAAGAAGTTCTGTAATCTTTTATCCGAGATCCTATTCTTCATTTCTGGTTAAAGTGAGGCTCGACGTTTAGCCTAGTTTTCGGGATAATCAAGCATCGTACGTCTTTATTACTCGACAAAACGTGTACCTTATTCGTCCTCATCTCCCTCCGATTTTCAACAATATAGCAGAAAGCGGGAAAGAAAAAGAAATATGGACAAACGTATCGTTTTTTTGGAAGACAGATGAGCTCACTCAACAAAGCACCAGTCAGACATGTGCTCGTATTCGCATTTTATGTTCCGTATTACTTTCGCTGTCCAATCCTTTGTCGGACTACGCCACGTTCGATGGCGCACTGAAGGGTTACGTCGTTCGTCGTATAACTGCAGCTACCACAATATATCCTTTATATTTTGTATTTTTATCTAATAGCCTCTTGGACAAAACTAAGACATCTTTATCGCACCGGAGTGTAACTGAATAACTTTTTTAACTTGGAAAGATATTGTTTCGGTTCGGGAAATACCCTAATGATCCGCTATTTCACTCGCTTTAGAAGTGGTAGACTTCTTGTAGATCCGAAAGAATCCGCCTGACAAGGAGGAAACGATCCAAATAGATATTTGTTTTATTATAACTGTGTACAAATACTGTTAAGCTCCTCCTTGTAATTTTCTAAACGATCTTGCTTACGCAGGGCCGGTCTAGGTAAGTAGTTGCGTCTGTATCCTGCCATTGATTAGATGCCTTACTACCAGAATTGGATTTATAAATAGATAGGCATTTATTTCATGGACATAGAGCGCCCTTAGCTCATCGTAAAAATGATAGTTAATCTGAAAACGTTTTATAATATGAAAATTGGAGCACCTTGGCTTTTCCTAAGAAAATCCACAGCTATTTTGCAGACTTAGAAATCCGCAAACAGCGTGCACCGTGAAACTGAAAACAAAAACAACAAAACAGCAATTTTTAACAGGTAGGCGAAATCATTCAGATTTTCATATGTTGCTTAATGCCGATTTCCTTTCCTTATCATATTTTTGGCTAAGGTCGCTCTCCTGAGAATTGGAAGGTGTCAACGCCGAAAGGGATTTCTGAAGGGAGGACACTATCCTTTTTTTGTGCCTTTATGAACCCACTGCATAACCTTGAAGTTGCTCTAACTATTGAACGTTTTACGTACTTGTTCTTTTTAGGATCTACACGCTTCTGACTTACAAAGCTTATCTATATGTGCTACCTCAGGCAATACTCGAAAGCGAATTTTCAATGCTGTAGATGGGTTTAGTTCCAGGCCCGGAGGCAAAAAGCGTTAGAAGGACACAGACTGGGATGGACTGGGCGAACGCCTTTGTGGAATGCAAACGCCTATACTAACAGATGCGAATTCTTTCTGCGGCTTCTCATTACTTGAACATACATACATTTTAATTATTGTTTTTCTTGCAAATTCTAAAAGCATCTGGGAGCCTTTGGGTTTGCAAGAACACGCTGTAGCAGATACTGTTAGCTTAAACCGTTGAATTAACATATACACGTCATTTTTTTCGTAAAATAATGTACTATTTTAACTCGGATCCACGTTGCATTTCCGTTCAATATTTTGCACACGACTAAATCTACTGTGGACTTATATATATATAATATATCGAACGTATATTAGTGGTACCTTCTACGTGAGATCCATTTCATCCATTGAAAATTAGAGTATGACAACTCTATTTTATGAAGCTAAATTCAAATCTCTTTTTTAAATAGACAAATTTATATATATATACAAAGTCGGACTCTCTGACCGTAGACTAGGTCCACCAGATCAATTATGAGGTAATGGGTGTTGGCAGAAACACATTATTTCACATCAAGCTGAATAATACATATTTGCTATGGAAGGTTCGGACATTTTCTGCTTATGTGGTCATTAGAAATTGGTGAGTAGATAGATGCTGGGGTAGTTTTACGACACGTTAGATTGGTGCGGTAATAAAGTTTGCTCGAACACTGAACGTCTCGTATATATATATATATATATATATATATATATATATATACATTATCTTGACAAATTAACACTAATGAGATGCATTTTATGAAGCGAAACGAATGTCAGATAAAAAGCTTTAAGCAAGCAATCCAATGAACATTATCTTTCGTAGGTTCGAGCAACTATAATCTAATACATAATATATGGATATTTTTGAATTTGGGAAAATCTTCATACTTCCTTTTTCCGTCAGTGTAAAGCATTAGCCTCTAATAAAATATATCATTACAGATATGCTAGGCTAACTGCTGCCACACGGTGCTGGCGGCCATGCAGTGATGGCAATCCGGTACCTCACCTATTCCTCCACACGATATCTATTATACCTGTTTTTTGTGCAGGCCCTTGATGGAAACGTCTTACACTTTGTCGTAGCGACACGAAGGTACATGAACAACACTGATATTATAATCATGAGCGTGAATAAAGATGATACTTGAAATTTCATTTGCTTTTTTATATACAATGCTGTCTATCCGTTCACCATTTGTCCTGCGGCGTATCTCAATACTTACTGAATCGACTTAGTATGCGGACATACGAAGAGAAAGCTGATCTAAATTGAGAGGATCGGGTGAGGAGCGACATAGAAAATGCTGGATATTGTCACCGAATACGCAGTGAAATTTAGTTGATGACAAAATAAGTGAGCAAGATACCCGTAACAGCGCTATATTCTATCTATTCAAACCATTTTCGTTTCTTGCTATCCCAGCCCTAGAGACGGCTGTCCCTACTTATACCTGTACTTAGCTGTTATCTCGAATGTCACTGTTAGATCTTCTCATGGCCCTTAGCGAGTCTCTCGTTCCGCTGTACACCTTCTTTCTGTATTTGTCTGTCTACCACGGAAACAACGTGCCTCAGCGTGACTTTCCATCGGACAACCTGCAATCGACCAGCCGAGACCGTTTTCCTCTCTCTGTCAGCCTTAGTCAAGTACTGCATTCATTCTCGCTGTCGCTACCTCGTCCATTCTTCTAATCGAAATTGTTGGAGTCACAAGAACGGAAATATCAACTGACGACACAAAAAGGTCAAACCGGTAGATACCGACTTGCATGTTTCAATGGATTCGTACAAGGGATGGTCCTGCAAAGAATCGATTCCACACTTACCTCTCATGCAAGGGAAAAGACGGTGCTATAGTAACGGAAACGTTTAGCTTTAACGATAGCCAGAACGAACGGAGAGCCAGAACAAAAACCAAGACTGGATACTTCGTGTGTCGATGTGACTAGGAATTTGAGCAGTTGCATCATCAAATCAGCTATTCCCTAAAGCGGCAGCGAAAACAGCAGCGACGCAACGTCTCGGAGCGAGGTGGAGATGTCTGACCTTCTTGTCAGAAATCAAATTCTTTCTACTTTGTCCACTTGTCTGTGTGGAGGCTGGAGCCTGTATATTGTTGTACCCAGGTGAGTTGATTAACTTAGTCTGTCTGATCTGTCTTCAGATGGTCCCGCGTCTGCTAAGCTGGCTTAGCGTGTGGGGTTTTTTCGTTACCCTTGCTACTGCTAATGCCTGGCTTTTTAGCACGGAAGTTGACTCAACCAATGTTGGACGGTATTGGGCGCCTTTACGGCGACGGACACCGTTCACATAAATCCCTCTACGTTACTAAAAATAGGATGATGAATCTTAAACTTCTCTAGGCAATACAGCGATCTGAGACAGATGACGAAAGCCACCACTATACTCTAACTTGGAAAACTATGAGTCAACACGCAATAATTTGCAGATTATGTTCATGCAGTATGGTAGTAAAAAAGAAAAACAGTTATAAGTGGCACAGTCTCTTAAAATGGATAGCCGAAAACCGGTTAGAGACACAGCGTTAAATAACTTGAGAGGACTGAAAGACGAGCTGAAATTATTACGGCTGATTTAACGGATGCACCTTTTTCCGATTACGACACTGATTTTTCTATATTTTATTGTATTTTTTCTCAATCAAATTCTTAACTGGTTTTATTAGTCCAAGCAAAAAAGAGTCAAAATATATTGGTGCCCTTTTAAAAGCAAAAAGTGTCTTACGCGTACTTCGTGACTAGAAGGATAAGAATAGCATTTTATTTTTTTTTCTAGTTAATGGCGGATGACAAACTTTCAATTGTTTACAGGAACGAAGAAGACACTCAACTGAAAATGTTCCCTATACGCTATTATTTTTGTAAACACGCACACCCATATATAGCACATTGAGTCCCGTACAACTGCATCAGTGTTTCAGACGCAGGCACACGATCTAATATCCATATTCAGAACTTTTTTTTTTTTTACTCCTTTCAAGATTCTCTTGTGTATGTACAAAGATGATGATGAAATGAAAAAATATCAAAGAAATAACGAAAAAGGATCATCAGTGGATTTGATGCACGAACAACTGAGCAAACACGAATATTTACGGAAAACCAATCCCCTCCTGGCTTCTGCGAGGAAACCCTTTTAGTCCCTGGCGATTCTAAAGAGGATTGTCCACGGGTGAACGTAACATGAGGATGATTTTATTATGAATCAAAACAAGATATTGTGACAGACAGACAGAGAGGATATTCAGTTCGACATGACTTTGTCCTTTTTTTCTCTTAAATCTTAGCTGTGTCCTTTCTTTTTCGTCGGCTGCAACAAAGCAGAGTTAAAAACGGGAACGGTTAGATGATGTAGAGCAAAACCCGATGAGAAAGCAGAAATAGGTGAATGACAACCTTGACTGCTACACTGCCAACGATAAGAGCGATGTTGCCTATGCAGTTATGCAATTGGTGAAGCTGTGCCAGTTACGTTTATAAAAAAAAAAATATAAATTATAGGCGGCATGTAAACATATTACTCTATTCCTATGGAACACGAACGAGATTAGGAAGCGATACGGCTATATGGTGGGCTTATAGTAAATGTGTAGTGTGCGTACCATTATGGGAGTGATTACGAGATTGACGATGCGCCTAGCTCTTTCCTTTTTCGTAATTCAGATAAACCTTTTTTGTCTTGTAAAAACAAAAATTCAAACGAATCACAGTAAGCTAGAAAATGCCGACGGTCATGTCTGGGAACGAACTACATGTTTAATGCGATATAGTAAACTCCCGAAACGTATTCAATAATTTTTCTTTTGGAAAAAGCGCATATTGGAGGCAATTTTGCCTTAGCCGATATTTTCAGCTGAATATGAGGCGATTTCAACTAGCAATCTTTGATAGAGTAGTTGCAAAAAGTAACAGTAAACGAGATTAAAATAGAATTCAAGTGAGTATTTCCTGCTGCTATATTTCACGCTGAAGAAAACCGATCAAAAGAGACAATCTTAGGTAGCAGCAGACATGAAACCCTATCGGAAACTACCTGATGAGGTTCTTGATAATGCTTTCTTTACACCGGCACAGTAGCTACGGGAAATATTGTCATAAACATGATCTGCTTAGGATATCGTCACGCTATTCCTGTTATGTGTACAGAAAACTAGAGTAGATCTATTTTATGTAATATATAGCAATGCCTTTCAGACACTGGGCTGTGAACAATAGTTTCAATTGTTGACCTGGGCTATATATGTAGCTGGAAAATTTTTATCTTTAAATATAAGGATGACACCTCACAGCATCAACTTATCACATTTTCTAGGTTTCTGTTAGCTGATCCTGTCAACGACGTACGGCAAACCAGTGATGGTTGAGCACGAAGTTTACTTAGGAAGACGAATGAATCAAGTTCGTAACGAATGGCAGTTGAAAGGGAAACGAGATTGTCGTTCAAGCAGAAAAAAAAAAAACAATGCGAAAACTAAAGTCGACGGAACGACTATACAAAACGAATAGCCAATTTTTTTCCGGAAAAGAGAAGAGAGACGTTCCGTACGTGCACGAAATTCAAACAAGTACATAAACACATACTGAATGTGAATGTGGCACCAAATGTTCATCTTATTTTGGCTTCTAGCATGACAAAGCTAGAAGCCAGCATGGTGTATCTTCATGGGCTACACATGACCACGTGTGTGGATTAGCGAGTGTAAATAAATGTTTTCTATCGAAATAGCGATAGAAAATTCAGTTAAAATCGCTTATCGTTACCTGGGCGTAGTTGCGCGCATTTCGTGGGTCTACGGGACGGGCCACTAAGTGTGACTCGCATTAGCCTGCAGCCATAAATACAGCCGCTCTATAAGGCATTACCGATTTCAGTAAATTATTCAAAATATATAAATCAGTCCAAGCATCCTTTCTGCATGCATGAGATATCGCCAGATAACTATTAGTTAATATAATAGATAATCTCAATGCGATTATCCATAAACTAACTTCTACGATTGAATTTCTATAGGAACGCAGTTATATTTCACGAGACGTTAACTCCTCAATGCGGAACCTAATGGACGCTAGCCAGTTGCCGGTGTAAGTCACTCTGAACAGTTGTGGTTGGTCGCGAATATGGACCTTCGTCAGTCAAAACGAAGGCCCTATAAACCTGTACGTCAAGGTAGCAGCTCGTCTAGTTGGGTTCTATGGTTCAGTTCCTATGGCAGGTGAAAGGATGTGTTATCAGAAAACCACTTACCTGCTAGAGCCATTCTTATCAAGTGGCTTAATAGTCTTCACGGTGACCTTAATTATTCCCCCTTTTCAGATCTGCGAGCGTCCAGTAGACAATAACCCTCGACTCCATAACCTACATCTGTCTTGTCTGTTAGCATCCAATAAAGTGTTTATGCCCGTATGATAATATGGACAAAACGTAATATCAACTAAACATATTTAATAGAAAGATGTACGCGTTCGCATTTCTAACAATATTGGATGTTTCTATTTAAGGTTATCTGCTCCGTAGTAGAGCTGACCCTGATGTACAAGGAAACAACGTTCAGACACAATTATGGCTATATGACGAGATATATTAGACACCAATTAATTCTGTCTGAGATGCTTAAAACACGTAGGCTGCTCAGGGAATTGCTACGGCTTGTATGTATACTAAACGCAGCGTTATGTGAAGAAAGAACCAAAATACTATTTGACGTACCCAGTAACTTGCTAGTGGTCGGTCTTCATTTCGAGAAGCGAGCAGTCCCAAATGTGTCTCTAAGAAAGCGGCGGTGCTTTTGTCCCAATTAGGCCAGATATTAGATGTACTTGAACCTAAAGGCATGACAAAGACAATAGCTCGGTGAAGTTTAAAGGAAACCGGACTAATGTGTCATCTACCAAGTGATAAAGCGATACATCGTCGATCTAAAATGCTTTAAAAGAAGAAACTATATCGTTGAATATAGCTGGACCACATAACATTGAACTAAAACTTCGAGAAGTTATGTCACCTAAGTTCAGACGGTGGGTCTGTGAATATGCAGTATCGTAGGTATTTACCTTTAGCTCAACTTAGTTATACGTAATCAACTTACTGTGTTACTATTTAACAACATTCTACATGTATTACAGCCGTTTTGGTACATAAAAAAACCGACTTCAGATAAATTTGACTTTGGCGCGTGACCGCGAGAGACATGGCGCACGTGAGAACTTCTATAGGCCCTGAAGATCTGTGCGTTTACTGATCGTGTACTGATCTAAGGGCTTTCTCTGCACTATCTGTTCGGCCTAGGCCTCTTCACTTTCGCGAGCCCGACGCTCCGTTCCCGAATCGACTGCCAGACTTTCAGGACTTGCCTTTATGCGTACAGACTATCTCCCCGATATTTGAGGAGGCGCTGCTTTATCTGGGCACATATATCTGGTACGGAAGGCGAGCTTGGCGAAGGTCTCAACTAACTGCTATATGTGGAATTCGACATTGGCGAAACGATGAACGAATGAAAGGTTTCATGAAACTAATTGATCGGTCACCCTTATTTCAGGTGCATAAAAGATCAACCGGGGTATTTATGCTTGGTTATTATTCTATGAGTGACTTGTCAGTATACCAAAAAAGTAGGGTAAGCTGAACAGCCCAGTGATCGCATTCGGAAAAGCTTTCAGTAAGGAATGAATGAATAGTCGCAAGCCAGCGATTTAACGTAATCGTTTCGCCTCGATCATGTTAGCGTTCTGTCAAGGTGAAACCATTAGGTTAAAGCAATAAGTACATCGATAGGCTTTGGGCCTACAATTGACAAACCTGTTAAATCGGACTCTCTAATTTTTTAACTTGAATAATTATTTAACTTATTTGTAGCTAACGTACATACGACTTTCTATCGTCGCTGTTCGTAGAAGGCTGAATTGTCTTGCTTGTCAATCCTTTGGTAAGTAAAAATCCCTAAAGTGGAACACTGGCTCTATTCTTACTGTGTATAACTCCCATATGCAGATCAAGCATTCTAGTAATGCTATATTTCTTCGCATGGAACCGAATTGTTTCCTTAGGTAAAACAAGCGGTATTTGGTTAGTTATCAAAAGGCAGAATCATAGCTCCAAATGTGCGACTTCAGAACCAGTTACGTACTTCAGAACCTTGCCGGAAATGTTACTAGACGCTTGGATGATTAAATATGTATATTGAAATAAAAGATTGATTTCTGTTTTTTATTGCCTTTAGCATTATTTTGCTTCCACATCCCGCATAAAATATGCTTTAAGCTTAAAATGTGTTCACAAGAAATATCTACAATATTTAAGAGAACGCTGAACGAATTCTGGTTATTAGCAAAGCGCCTGACTACAATAATTATATAAATTGTATTATCTTGTAAAATCTGTTGGCCAAAAGAATAATAATGATTAAAAAAAAATAGCTATAATGTATGACAAGGCAGAAAAGTAACTGTTTATCATTTTGTCGGCTTCTGAGTAACATCTTGCCTGATTATACACAAGATTCATGCTGTTTAAGGCAGTAACGTTGCTCACTCAATGATCAAAAGTAGATTTCTCACTGTAGGACGAAATTTCAGTTGTCAAGGTTACAAGTTTGTTAAATAATGGCATTATTTTTTTAAATCTTAGATATTTCAAATGACAGATGAGTATATACCTACGGCTGGAAGCGGGTGATTTATGAACGCCTGAATAAAAAATCGTCATTGTGGTACAATTTTACATAATAACAGCGTATTGCGAACAGTATTGAATCTTAACAACCTATCGGCTTGTTATCTGTTCGACCGGCTAACTTTCTGTTAGTAGGCAGTAACTAAAAAAATACGGTTACATTGCATTGACAACGCTGAATTTAATTCTGAAACTACGAAGGGCTAACGGCTGTATAAAGTTTGTTAACGGAATTACACGTCACGATAATGGTTATCTTCGAAATGTCTATGTTGGAAACGGGTATCTATTATCTATAAAAGACGCAGTAATACATTGAACAGCGTAAGGATAGCACTTAACACGGTATAAAAAGGCCAATCTTGTACATTTTGCAAAGCAAGAAGGATACCACCAATACAGGCCGTTGCCGGTCAGTTAGCCGGTCACCTGCTCGCACTGCCAAACAGCTGTACATATAAGAATTCCTTACGAATGAAGCCTCCCAGTGGTACCTTGTGTGTACTTAGGTAGTTAAAACCAAACATGGCTGCGGGGCTTCATTGTGCAAAGAAATAGGACAATTTTTGACCTAATAGTCAAGTTCAGATTCGATTATAGCTGTGAAACGATCTGATATAGAAGAAAGGCTAGTGGAATTTATGTAGGTGCTGAGTCTGGTGTCTGGCGAGAAATCGCGAAGCCATGGCTTCTGTGCTCGCCTCAACGATTTAAAATTTATGAAGATTCTACATACGCACATGAGCACACAATCACGCTATGTAGAATAAAAACTCTTTTTGTGTTTCCATTTTGTCCTTAAAGTAAAAATCACTTGTGAATACATATTCCTATCTGATTTAGGATCTATATTTAAGAAATTTCGTAAAATGATGAAGTCGAGGAGAGATATTTAATTCACGTTTCGTGTATAGGTTCGTTTTTTATTTCGATTTATCGTACCAGGTACATATATAAGCCAAGTTTACAATATTTATTAATCAATTTACATATATACGATCTGAAATGGATAAAAAGTGAGAATTCTTGACTGAGGGCCAAGAGTCTACTTAGTGAAAAAATTGAGTTAAATTAAATATATATATATATATATATATATAGTCTTTACAGTAGAAAATAAAACCACGTTTTCATAGTGTAGGCGTTGTCTCTGGACTCGTTAGTTCCTTATTTGATTTTTTGAATTTCCCCGGCAAAGCTTCTAGCTAACGTTGACGGTATTTGTGGAAGGCGCCTTATAGCGTAGATGACACAAACAAAGTGATGCAAAAGAAACTTCCAGATCATTATTGAATCTGTTCTGATAATAGTTGTACGTGGCCTTTAATTAAGTGTGGCTCTGTTATTAGAGCACTCAGATGTAGAAAGGCTTCCACTGTCCAGTTTCCTTTGTGCTGGATTATTCCGTCTGCGTATTGTGTATTATTGTTTGCGAACATGCGACCTATCAGCTTAAAATAAACATCAATATCTAATTAAGAAGTTTTTACAGGGCTTGGATTAATTTACAACAGTGATAATAGACCTTCCAAATCAACACTACCCTTTACGGAAAAATGTTCTGAGAGCTGCCGCAGACAAATAAAAAGATGATAAGATTATGGCCCGGCCTAAACTGGGCTGACGTTAGTCTACACAAGTGCCTCCCGCGATAGGATTTCAAGTTAGTTAAGGCAGATTTTTTAATGCTTGCTCGTTTTGCGCCCTGCCTGTTCATGTATGAGCACCAGCCGTAATTACGTACGAATTTCAAGTTATGTCAGGCCGCTTTGTATGTTCTTATTCTTCAAATCAAAGTGTCTATGCTGTAGAGTGTAGCGGACTTTTTTTTATTCGAACTTAATACTTAAAGATCTGAAATAACACGGTGAAATCATGTATGACCGCTTGGCTATTGATAAATGAAAATCATTTGTTACAGTGTTTGAGCAATAAAAAATAGTTGGCGATGAAAGACGTTTTGTTAGGGATATAGGTAAAAAAAAAGATATTGGTAAGTGACGTTTACAAAAGTTTCTTACCTTTGAAAAGCTATCTTAGGTGTTTATTAGTCAGAAGATGGTAGTGTGTTCATCTATTATAGCATAAATAGAAAAAGATATTAATGCTAAAGGATACTAATAAAGTATTAGACAGGTAGTCCGTAGACAACCTTTGCTCAGATAAATGCGCTTACTACTAGAGTACGTAATTTCACTGCGATCACAAATCATTACGCCTCGAGGACAGTGCCAATCGAGCCTATTTTTTCCCGTCTATCGATACGTGTATTGAATCGGGTTTCATCAAACATCAATAAGATGGATGCGGCACGTCAATGTTTATTTGAGGTACACCACATCTGTAAAGCTTCGGGCGATTCAACCTTCGTGCTTTAAGAACCGAAGAAAAGCAAGCGGTTTTGAAAAAAAGTGAGGTCAAAACAAGGTGATAACAGACGATGCGGTTTTAATACAAGCCTTATTTTAGCTGAAAGATTTTGATTTTAGGTTGCTTCTGTTCATTTAGCACTTATAACAACCTAACGAACTAGTTTCGTTAGTAAACATTAAAGTAACATAACTATACGTTTTTATCTGACGGGAGCATCAACAGATAAGCTAGTGTAGAGTTTTACGGCATAACGCGTGCAATAAAAGGTATGTTTCATTTGGCGATAAAATAAAGGCAGAAGATAGAAAAACTTTATTAAACGTAGGCCCTTGGGAAGGCATGTTTCCCACTCTTACTGCTCGGTGGTTAGCATAAAATTCCTCACTGCTTATGATAAAATCGAATAATTTAACGGCCGGGAATTACGCAGCAGTTTATGTGTATAAGCCGTTTCCCGCTTTTTGTTGAAAAACCTACTGTAGGTGCCCTATACATGACTTATGAAATATCATCAAATATTCGATTAAAAAGTTGATCACAATACGACAACAAAATCCGTACCTAAAAAGAGGAGGAAAATGGAAAATGTCTTTGAAGTACAAAAGTCACTGAGAACGAAGAAACAAGGGATTTTTTTCAGGGGAAATGAGTGAGAATCTTTCAGTGATACGAGATCCAGCTAACGGGTGCCTAATACTCGTAGGGTACTTTTCGTCCCAGACAGGATCTACACGAGGTGGTGGACTAAAAAGGTTCAAAAAGTCTAGGATACCACAGTTATTTAGACCACAAGCGAATGTCACAGTAAAGAAATGAAGAATCGTATGCTCGAAAAGGGAAACCGTCATTCTTCAGCAGAGGAAAAGGAATTGGGACGTTGGCGTAAGAAAGTAAGCCACAGTGTAGAAAGAGACAAGAAAATGATGTAACAAAGAACAAATCCTTTCGAAAGCGAGTGCCGACGGCCTCATCTCTCTTATGTGTTTTTGAGACGACACTAGCATAAGGAAAACTGTACCATTACGGAAGGGCCAATGTGGCCATATTGTACACCGATAAAGATCATTAAAAGGTACGCGCGTAGCTTTTGCCCTATATGTTTTTTCCTTCTCTTATCCTTGTCGCGGAATACGTGATGGCGTAGGTATGCTCGTAACTGTCATTTGGAGAGATGGCGGACTCTAATTACAACGGCGAACACAAAAATCTAAAAAATAAATAGCTCTGGATACTCTACATGAATTATTCATAACAAAAGGCTCGTTAATTCAAATTAAGTTAAAACGAAGCTGAGAGCAGGAAGAGATCGTAGAAACGGTTAATCTGTGGGTGATTTTGAAAAATCTCGCTAATGCTCCTGGTAGCTGGTATCATTAATTTTCATTTAAAACCTTCGGGTTCCATTAAGTAGAGCTTGGACGAAGGAGCGACGGCGACTGCATTGGCAGCGGTAGAATGACGACACCAACTATAACGATGACGGAGACGAGGATTCGTCAACGTTTTCTCACTGCATTGTTTACTGTTCATTTACATCTAGCGCCCATCAAACGTGTACGCGACTGAACCTTGTGGATGTAACCTTCATTTGCTTCATATAGCAGAAGCTTGGCATTTTGCCTTGTAAAAACTGATGCACTGCCGCATATTTCGCTGTGGCAGCATTGAAAAATAGAGCATCGGGCTGTTTCACGTGAAAATAGCATTAAACGTGCCACGTACATCGTGTTTCGGCTTTAGCTTTGTTCTAGAATCAAAATTACTTTAACGTTAAATTCAAAACGAACGTTATGTAAGGTATTTCAAGCTTAAGTTATTAATGTATGCCTAAGTTTACCAGGCGAATACATTGCAGTTACCCCATAACGGGAAAGAGAAGAATCTGAGTGAATTTACAAGAGTGGGCTGGTTCACTTTGGGCACTATATTTACATTGTGACAAGCCCTCACTAGAGTTGTATAGAGATACCAATGTAATGAGGTTAAGCAATGTAACTTCCACAGTCAAGAAAGATGTTGCTTTTTAAAGGACGTTGTCGGCCAAAGTCAATAAGTTGCGCGAACTAACTTATTTTCAGCAAGTAGGTACAAGTCACAGTAAATTTAAACAAGATCCTCTCTATTCATGGACACCTTTTAGATAAGACAAAATTAAACCCGCTTGACGGCCACCCTGTGCACGCCAACTAGAGTATAGTTGTAGTAAATGCTATACAATATTGATCTAAAAAGTTATTATCTATCTAAGTTTTTAGTATCGTTCTTCTTTATCCTATTTATGAATGTTGCTAGTTTCCGTGCCACTAAAGAGCCCGTTATTGACAAGACCCTTTTCTTACCCGAATCTCTTATAGGTGTCTATGTCAAAGTGATAGAGAGGTATTCTCTATTCTATTGGATTTTGGTGCACAATTCGAGCGTTCGATTAAAAGAGTTGGTGGTGCCTGTGGTTTGTTTTTGAAATGGGTCTGTTTGGGCGATCACTCGCTGAATTTTTTTATAAGTGTTTATGACGACACGGTACAGTTCTGAAAACGGAGGCATATTGCTCTAATTTTTTTTGTGCAATTAGTTTTTCTCAAGAAATATTGAGAATCCTGAGAGTCTATGCCGGGCGAAGGGGGGGGGGGGTAGTACTCAAAAACTCTCGATGCGTGTTTCGATATCTATAATAAATGCTGCAAGTTTTACGTCGACATTGCGTTAGACAACTGGCTCCCAGCATAAAACGCACTATGTCTATGCTAGTTTTCGAACGTAGACTTTTCACGTGTTTCTAAGTTCAGTAGGTGAACACGTTACCACTACACCGTCACGGGGGAAGTTCCCATACCTAGGATTGAGCATTTACAGTGCACAAAGTAACCCTTTTTTCCTTCCGGTCGTCAAAGGGAGCTGGTGCAACTACGTTTAACAGCATGACTGCCGTCAGCATTGTCTACGCCTTTGTATTACTTCAATGTAATAACGTAATTTTTCAGTGTGCTACTGTTGAGGTACGATGATCACCATTGTTGTCTTAACCACTAAGCCATGCCACAAGCTAGTTTCTCCCGATCATTTCGAGCAAGTATTTATATATAATATAATAATTTGAAAGTTATCAAAACCTT